ATATATATATATAATTTAGAGAAGCCTGCCAAAAATTGGCGAATACCAGTCAGACTATGAAGGGGCCTACATAGCCAAGAGGACTGAGGAGTATGGTTGAGACAATTGCTAGCCGACTCTGAAAATTTGAAACAAAATTTAAAGAGAAAACCCAGTGCACTGAGGAATTGGCAAAAGTGGCAGAATTGAATATTAAGTGAATTAATTGAATGAATTAATGGAATATTAAATGAAGGACTAAGAAATTATAAAATGACATGTCAGGAGGAAATTTTCACCATTTGCTATATCAAAATACCGCGGTTTTACTCCATCTCATTGGATTTAACTCATGTAATATCACACAATTATACATTTTATAATCCTATAACAAGTACTAAACCATCAGAAAAACAGAATATGAATTTAAGGGATATTCTTGACTACTCCCTAGAACAAACTCCAAATCCAATAAAATAACACCAAATTATTAATATTTAAAATACTCAAAGCCAAGGAAGGAATTTAATACAAAAAAAAAAGAGGAAGGAAAATAAGGAAACTAAGGAAACTAAGGAAACTAAGGAAACTAAGGTAGAATTAACTAATATCCAATACATCTAAGAAATACAGTTCTATGCATATGGATCTTATTGTATCCACGGCCGAGGATATAATAAGATACCTCAAGAAGCTATAAGAAATATTAAAATAATATATAAGGAATATTAGGAATATAGCAATATAGGAATATAGCAATATAGGAATATAGCAATATAGGCAAAATAAGAAATAAAAGCTAAATAATAAGTAAGAATTAAATGATATAAGAAAATAAAAAAATATAAGCTAATTAAGGATTATAAAACTTAAGAATAATTTAAGAATATTAATAAGTTAAGTATAAGACAACTTAGTATAAGTATAAGATAAGTATAAGTTAAGTATAAGATAACTTAGGAATATAGATAAGTTAAAAATATAGACATAAGTTAAGAAACTCTAGGATATCATAGAAATAAGATTGGAAAGAAAATAGTCTGAACCATTATCCAAATCATATTAAATCCATACAACATTTATGCCAAATTGAACCATGGCCAAAATTGATCACTTTTTCATAAACCAATAAGTCAGACTAATAGTTTGGATAAAGATGATAAAACTCCAGGAGTAAGATGATAAGTAAAGATGATAAAACTCCAGGAGTAAACCATACCTCAAAATATATTTAAGGAAGTACTAAGATTAAGACACGGTTGACAAATCATCGGACAAATAGAGAAAAATTTATTGCCTAATAGAGGATAACTCCATGGTCCTCGGACGCGATAGTGCGCCCAGGGGGTGGAATGTCTTCAGGGTTCCATAGTCCTCGGACGCGATACTGCGTCCAGGGGGTGGAAAATCCCAACGGAATGGGCATAAAGATATAACAGGCAAAGCAGAAGCTGAATATAACTTATGTGAGCACAGCTCGAAGACTACATAAGACCATAATTGCATGAGGAAACAAGTCAACTTTTATGAAAATAGCAAGAAAACCACAGTTGAACCAACTATAGTTTGACTTTTCTTGGTTTAGCCATTGCAATTGAAATTAAAATCAAAAATACCTATCTTTCTTGAGAAAAAGATACAAATAATTGAATATATTAAACATAATTAAACATTGAATAATAATAATTTGGACCCATAATTATAACAAACATCCAAAATAACAATTTAAATATTGATTTGGAAAATGGAGACAGACTAAGGACAATAAATAAATAAAACATTACATAAATGCATTAAAATACTGAATGGATAAGAGACATATGGTCAAATCGAAGCATGGAAAGAATTAGATAAATCAGGAAAGGAAATAAAGATAATAGTTTACCATGTAGAGGCACACACCTCAAAGAAGGATGATATGCATAAGTATAATGATGTAGTAGATAAATTAGCCACC